TATGTGAATTACTTCCCTATGTGCTTAGCTGTGTGTAAATCTTAATTAGCTATGTTTTGGAGCATAGATGCTAGGATACAAGAGCATATACTTTTTGAATTTTTGAGTTATGTATTTCACGTTATAGACTCTTGTATTATGGACATTTGTGGGGAAAACATGTATTCTATGTATGAAATATGTGTTATATGCAATGTTTATTATTTATACTGTTATTATTTATTTTTAAAATTGTTGATATTATAAAATTATTAATATTTTAATAACATAATTTAGAAAATCTCTAAAATTGATAATTTATTGGAGTTGAATATAATTTATTTTAAATATTTTAACTTTTAATTCTCTATTTTGACAACTTATAGAGTTCCGATTCAAAAGGGGTAATTCCTTCAATCAGTTGCTGTCTCATTTTTCAGTTGATGTGAAATAGCCGTACAGAAGTCATTTAAAGCGCCTAAAACCCTGTTTTTAAAAAGGCCTTAAATAGATTCCTATATGACCCCACCGTCCACCCAGACAACCAAACAAAAAATCAATACGTTGAAGATGCTCCTATCGATAATTTCATTCTCACACACATCAACATGAAGACTTAGGGGTTGTTTACCTAAATGCTTATCCGATAAGAGCTTACAGATAGAAGTCAACACTATAATTTATTTGATGTGTAAAATTTTAGTACATCAAAACGTATCGAATGCAACAATTTACAGGATAAACGCTTACCTGGGTAAGAGTCGGCATCTTCACTTACTGTGTAAGACTCTCCATCCTTTTCATCGCTCTTACCCGATAAGATTCTTGGTTTTTATCATGTTTATCCGATGAGAAAATTTATCGAGTAAACACTTACCAAGTAAGCAATTTGTAAACAGCCTCTTAAAGTCTGTTTGGTTTACAATATTGTTTTTGTAGGATTTGGATTTTATGGAGGGATTTATATTTAGAGGGAATTCGATTAGAAGGATTTAATGGAATTGGATTCCATTATTTATAAATAATGTATAAAAATAATTAAATTACATTTTTATTGATCAATTATTACAAAACAAATGTTTTTAACATTTTTTTAAAACCTTATTTCATACAATTCTACGAAATCCCGAGCACCCGCTAAGGATTTCAAAATTCCTATGATTATAAGATTTCAAATAAATCCTAAGATTTTAAATCCGGACAATCCAACAAACCAAACATGAGATTGAAATGAATTTGAAATCCAAATTCCCCCAAATCCATTCCATTCCATTCCCACAAACTAAACAGAATCTTACTTTTTATATTTTCAATGTGTATTATTTGAATTGATTCTGAAATAAATAAGGGTGCATACAGCAACACCTTAACTTTCTTATAATTTTTTTAAAATAGAGAATTAAAACATAAATTTTTTATAATGAATTATATTCATCTCCAACAGATTTTATATTTTAGAGATTTTAACATAAAATATATTATTATAATATTCTTTAATTTATTATTCTCAATGCACTCTTTAGAAAAAAAAAAGCTTTTTATAAAAAATTAATACATTAATCTCATTGGTGGAATTGAATAAAATAATCATCTCTCTTACAACTTGTTTTACAGAAATCTGTATATTTAGAGTTTTCTTCATCATTTTTTATTTTAGAGAACAAGATAGCAAAGTTGTTAGAATATTTTAGAAAACAAAAACTCATTTTTTTTATATTTTAAAGAAGCTGTTGGAGATGCTCTTATATATGTTACTTCTTTTGTCCCAAAATAGTTTCCACAATAAAAAATTAAAATTATGTAACTATTACATTATTTAATTATATTTTAGATTTTCTATATTTAAAATGAATATTTATCTTATATTTGATTATATTTATTTACAGTTAGTTACATGAATTTAAAAATGGAGCTTTAATAAGTTGTATTTACGCAAAATTACTTGTAATATTGAATTTTAAGTGATATGCATCAATAAACAGTACTTCATGCATAAAAAATGATTTTTAAAATTTTTTGTCAAATGTTTTATAATATAGTATAGATAATAAAATAAGTTCAATTATTCTCAGATTTTATTTTGCTTTCTTTTAATTTTGAAAATAAACTGAATCTTTTTTTATTTAAATTCAGATTTCTGATGAAGTTTTTTAGAAGCAACTTTGGGTAAAACAATGTGAGTAAAGTGGGCTGCAATTCTTTATTATGGCCCGAAAAAATTGGGTCATGAAGGCCCAAGTGTTAAAAAGTCCAGGCCCAGCTTATTCAAACAAAAAAAAGGCTCATTTTTGCATGTTTAAACAAATCAAAATATTATAATTCAGGGGTTGTTCGGTTCGTTTCCCATTAATACATGTATGGATAAATCTGTCTATATTTGATAAAGTTGTTTGGATGATTAAGTTGTTGTTCGGTTTTTGTTTTGAATGAACTGTTTGAATGATGTAAATGACTATTTTACCCCTCAGTCTATATATTTGATTAATAACTGTAATTTTTAAATTTCAACTTCCATCCAATCTAATGTAATGTTAGGGTGATTTAGCCCATAAGGTAAGTATGTAATCGTCGTTTTCTGCTTAGTAGTGTAATGTTAGGGTTGGATATCCAGGTTAAATGGTTAATAAAAAAAGCTCAGTTTTCCAATTCTCAAATTATTAAACCCAAAACTAGTAATAGATAACAAATTGATGTCCTTTAGGCTTTGATGTCCTGTGCGGCTGCACGGGCTGTACGTGGCCAGGGCCGGCCCTGGTTAGCCGGTAACAATAGAGTGGAATTATGGTTAGTAGTATAACGCTATAGTGAGTTAGCGTGTGATGTAACAATAGATTCCTCCTAAGTAATGTAATGGCGATGGTGATTTAAATCGTAAGGTTGTGTCAAATTTCTGCTTAGTAGTCTAGTGCAATGCTATGGTGAGTTAGGCTGTAATCAGTGGCGGATGTACATTGGTTTAGCTCGTAAGGTTGTGTCAAATGTAAGTTTTTTAAAAATATTGCAGGTAAATTTTGTTTTCTTTACATTTACGTGCTTAGTTCCCCCCAGTCATTTTCGACGGTTCCCCCTAGTGGCCTAGTCCGTTTTAACGAAACGTCACTCTCTTGCTTGACAAATTGAATAATTTTCTTTTAGTTTTATAATTATATAAATTGAATAATAATAATAATACTTTCTGTTAACCGAGATGGTAAAAAAACGTAGTCAATTTACCTTATTTGGTTAATCGATCCATTTAACATGCAAACCGAATAACCCGAAACCGTTTTGGATTAGGTGAGTTTTGTACTCTAAAGTCCCCGGTCACCTAACTTTCTGGATCCGACACTGCCTGTAACGATCTCAAACATTTTTATAGCAACATGTTGGTAAGTATTGGGGGTTGTTTTTTATTTTTCAATTAAAACCTTTTTGGAATAAAATAACTTTGAGGTCGTTTACCAAATACTTACTCCGTAAATGCTTACCAGTAAAATTTAACACTATTATTTAATTATCGGGTAAGATTTTAGTCCACAAAACGACATCGCATGCAACAATTTATCCGATAATCGCTTACCGTGATAAGAGTCGTCGCTCTCACTTACCGGGTAAAACTCTTGGTTCTTGTCTCGCTCTCACTTATCGGGTAAAACTCTTGGTTCTTGTCTCGCTCTTACCGAGTAAGATTATTGGTCATTACCAAATTCATCCAGTTAGGTAATGTGACTTAGTAAACGTTTACCGAGTAAACGTTGGTAAACGGCCCCTTACCGTGTTTTAATCCAATTTGGTTATTTACAATATTGTTTAAATATTTTAAAAAACGGAACATTGTTTAATGGCTAAACCATTAAGCATTAAGTTGATTAAGAAAATAAGCCCATAATTTTTTTTATTAACCTGGATATCCAATCCGTTATGCGAGCCGACTAATCCCATTACAGATAGCCTGGAGTCATCGCATTTGAACCTCCGTGGCCACAAGGGGATTTTTATTCCTCCTTAGATTTGAACCTGAGACCTCCTAATACTTTTGACCTTTGGAGCCAAGCTCAAATCAATCAGTTAGTATTGTGTTTAGGAATATAGAGCAAGGACATCATCATATTTGTTGGTATAATTTACTGTAAGGGAGTGTTGTTTTATTGTTGTGAAGTTGTATTTTCTAGTTTTTTACTACCGATTATTTCGAGCTCAACTTACCGTCTTTTGGATGATCACTTCCATACCAAGTGCGATAAAATTGCTCGTTACAAACTTCAAGTTATAGAACTGCATAAAAACACCATCTCCTACGATTATTTCATCACATATGATTATTTGATTACTTTTTTCTTTACAAAACGTACATACAAATAAAAACCTCGCTTTGGTGTTACGAGAATGAGGTCCCGACCAGTATCAATTCAAGCCATGAACATGACATCCCAAAAAGTCGTATATGGCTGACTGAATAAGCCGTGAATCGGATCAAACTCGTTACGCTACTAACCAAGAGACCCTAACTTGTTGAGTTTCTTTGGTAAGATCAAGTGATTTTATGAACAGGTTTGCAAAGATTTAAAAACTACATTTTTTTTCCTGGGATTTTGTCTCCTTGATACTGATATAAGATTAAAAAGCCATGAAACAGAAAACATTTATTTCAATTAACCTATGAAAGAAGTGATTGAGAAACTAAGGGGTCATTTACTTAAACGTTTACCCGGAAAGTGCTTACCAGGTAACTTTCCTTACCGGATGAACATGGCAAGGGTAAAAAATCTTACCCGGTAAGAACAATGATAAAGATGAATAGTCTTACTCGGCAAGTGAAGGTGACGACTCTTACCTGGGTAAGTGCTTACCGGGTATATTGTTGCATACGATACCATTTTGATGTACACCATAGGATTGTGAGGAGACGGAAAGGTATAACATTCTCCTTACTTTATGAAAATTTGATTCTTTTTCCTTCTCTATTTCGAATAAATTACAGCAAATCTTTCAATGCATCAAAAAGGGTATTCACAGTCATCATGGGAAAGGTAAATCAGTTATAGATTTAAAAATCTAAGTATCATTTTACTTTTTCCTGAGACAAGAAAATTTTGCCATTATAAAATCATCCAAAAAAATGCAAAACTAACTCGTTACAAACCGAAATTAATCGCTACAATATTTGAATTTGCCAAGATTTTTTTTAGCGATGCTATTTGGAACCGATTGCAAAAGACAATTTGGGGCGCGATTTGTTCTTACCAAGTAATTTCTGCTGTTTTGAGCGTTCTTCCTCCTCTTGCTGCTTCTTTCTGCGTAACGCTTCTTCTTTTTGCCTTTGGAGTTCTTCCAGTTCCCTGTAACGTTCTTCCTCCCTCCGTTGTTGCTCCATTGCTTCCCTCCTCTGGGCCTCTTCCATCCTCCTCCGGTTCTCTTCAACCAACCGCTGTAACTCTTCTTTCTCTTTTCGAGCTTGTTCCTATTCAAGAATTACAATTATTCGTAGTTGGTCTAAGAAAACACGATACATATATTCTTTTTGAAGCATATAATAATATTTATACACGGGAAATGCAGCAAAAGAACCCACATGCCCTCCTTACGTTTGGTAGAAATGAAGATTCATAAATACGCTTATTCAAATAAAAAATACAATAGAATTAGGATCTACTTGTGTTCTACAAGTGCATCAAGGGGCTTTTAGAAGTCATATAGTCTGTCAACTGCAAATATCTGCACGCTGCTAGAGCTCTATAGAGAGACGGACTTATGTCCAATAGGTGCATTTGGTAGGCAGACAAGATTGGACGGGCGAGAGTGAGGTAGGCAGGAGAAAGAATTGTGGAAGGTTTTAGGGTTTTCATTCTTAATTAAAGGTAAAATTGGAGATTTAATAAATTATAACCACCTATTTTTTAAAGTGGACCGTTATTTTGGAACAACCTTAAATAGAAATATGCACATCTGTTTGGGAAAAGGAACTCCACGAGGGTTTTAGTAAACAAGTCCAAAACACTTGCCTCTTTTCGTCTAGCCTCGATAATGGCAGCTTCTCTCTCTTTCTCAAGTTGAGCTGCAACATCAGTCAGAACTTTCTTCCGCCCCTCCTCAAGGCGCTTCTGAATTTCAAGCTTAATATCGTCAGAGTTCAATCTCTCTTGCACTCTCTTCCTTATAGCTTCTTCCACTCTTTTCGCAGTTTCTTCCTCCAACAATTTCAATTCTGCTTCATGCTGACGCCTGATAAACACAAAAAGTATGTTAAACAAGAAATGGTCGTTGGGTCACAAACCAAGATGCTGCACCCACTTCTGTATGCGTATTTGAACAGTGAAACAGTTAAAACCGAAGTTGAATTTTACATAGCAAAATTCCATCCACATTTGTCTGCCTTTTTTTGACAGTATGCTTCTAACGAATGACAAACTGACCTTCATGTCGATAAGAGCACTATACATATGCTTATGCTTACAACGCATACCTCTAACGAGTTCCTGATCCAAACAAATGAGTTTCAAAACTCGTGAACAGTAGATAAACGAGGCACCCAATTCATCACCAATTAAAACAAGTTGAACTATAGCAGTATCTTCCTTCAAAATAGCCTGTGGAGAAAAATGTCAAAGTAACCTTTCGCAGTTTTAAAGCTGTGATTATTCATGTTTACATTGCAATACAATTTTATGAAGTAAATTCTACAGTTTCTGGTAACACATGAGCACCATGTCATGTTTTTCCAATCTTAGGCTCCAAAACTGACATTGAAATAGCCTTCAGCTCCCTTTCTTCACCTACTTCAATGGCCACGTTAACTACCTCAGATGAGATAGTAGAATTATAAACTTCAATGGCCAAGGTTGGGAGTCCACGAGAATCAAAGAGTGGGTGGATTACCTATATGCAGCATGGCTATATGCAGCATGGCTTACCTAGGCCTATTCTGTTACTCATAGAATAAAGAGGGAATGGTAACGACGAATGGATCAAGGGAAAGAAGTATGTGTTGTCGAGCTGTGTGCAAGATGGAGGAAAATGCACCACATCCAAAACATAGAAGGAGAAAATGTTGCTTGCCCCGACAGAATACAAGTTCCGGGATTGCAGCGTCAACCAGAGGGATCAACCTACATTATTAGAGTATGAAGGTTTAAACTAGCAGCACGCAATGAGATGAGAATGACCATTCATTCTCACAAGCAGGCACCTCAAATGGTTGCATGCTAAAAGGCTGGATTGGTGGTGGTGTGGGAAAAAGAGGAAGGGGGGAGAGGGGCAGGAAAGCAGTATTTCAAGTTTTCTTCAAGAGCTATAAGAAATATTAGGTCCATCTTCTACATGCAAATGAAGACAAGTAGTACAATGGCCAAGTAGTTTTGAACCCACACTGTAACCAAATTTTGGACAATTCAAAAATTGGATATAACAGCAGAGCATCAGGCAAACAGGCCAACAATCAATTCCTCCAAAATAAATGTGCAGTGGAAGTTTGAATTGAAAAGGTCTCATGTCCTTCAACTTGTATCCTTTAACAGAATTGGTTTCATCAAGAAAACTGGGCCAGAATTCAATCTGAAACCTATCCAAAGTTACCCCTTTTGCATATGACAATAGTGATAAACTGGATGATCATCTGATTTTCAAAAGAACGAATTCCAAAAGTCAACTTTGTGAACATATATCAAATGTGAGAAAAAGGTAAGTTGGTGCATTAAGTTCCTCCCTCCCCACCCCCAAAAATTGAGAAATTAATAGCCCAGCAAAACTAGATTTAAAAATTCAGACGATCATAGAGATTCTTTCTACTGGATGGCAGCTGCAGAATGAAATTCTGAGATGAAGTTGGGCGCCATATAGTGTATGCCCCATACCATAATATATACAAATAAAACATATGTTGATGATCTATCTTGAATAGCATATGCTAGTTGATTAGTCAAAAAGTATTCATCATGAGTAGACGCCACTCAGAGGACTGCTTGTGTAAATGTAGCCCATACCAATCCCCAAGTATACATTACAGGGTTACACACATTTCTAGCAGCCACATTCATCACAAGCTCAAATTCTTAGTTTTGTAATCTTCATTGCAATAAGCAGCAGCCATAAATGGGACTTCGTTGGGCACCAGAGCAATATAGTAAAAAAACAGAGACTCTACAGTTAGGGATTGCTACAGGTAAAGTTAGCTAAGGCATGAATCAAAAGATGGGAAAGCAGATAGAGCATGGTGAATGTGTTCATAAGCAGGACAGAAGCAGATAGGGTGTTTAGTACGAAATGTCTTCTGATGTGCAATGACCAAAATGGGTCTTGTTTATTCAAATTATGTTGACCAGTTTGCTTATGCTTGATTCAAGTATACAGAACAGACATTGTAGTTGGCTTTCAACATTGGCAGCTTCCAAATAGGGATTAGAATTGATCATGTGGTGACTATAATATATCATAGAACAAATGAGAAAAACCAAGTAAAAGAAAACTTCATACAATATACTAGAGGATAGATGAAAAAATGGCTGTCTATAAGGAAGTATGCAAGGAACTTCTCTCATAATCCCCTTTATGTGATGATAAGTATCAAGAACACACACAAAAACCCAAAAAACACATAGAGAAATATGAAAACTATGTAAGGCTAGGAAAGTAAACTAAACGGTCAAATGTGCTTCTTAAAATGTGTCTCGTGCTCCTGCTCTTTGTAAAGAAGCTTCTGTTAGTGACCAAAGACACCAAAGTGCATCTTAAAGGTGCTCAACAACAGATTTGACTGCTTTTAAGCAATCTATAGCAGAATCTGGGACTAGTGAATAGATATCAGACTCTCCATCATGTTAACCAGACACACTGCCAGCTCCATATATTCACAACCATCTTGTCTTTTTTTCCCTATGACTCATGTGTAAGCAAGAGAATTAGAACTTTAAGCCAATAGCAAAAGTCCATAACACAAATGTTCCAAGTACACCAAGGAAAAAGGGTAAATAAAGGCAGTTAAAAGACTTGAGCTTTCTTCCTGACATAAGGGCCCATACTACCCTACTTACAAGTTACAAGTGCGGAAATATAAATCCATGACCATCATCAAAATATTATCCCCAACTCAAATTCCAACATGATTTAGCAATTAAGTAATATCAATAATATTTATGATCTAATAGAATGCCAAAGTAGCTTCATTATTCCATATGTAATCTGCAATGCTAAATATTATAACAGCAAACATGAAAGTATTTGCATAATCAAATAAAAAGGATATAGAAAATGAAAGGAGCTTATGTAAGGATTTCTGGTAAATGATATACCTTTTCTTTTGTTGTTCTTCTTCTATTTTCGTTTTTTCGCTGACAACTTTGCGCTCGATAGACTCGATACTTGGAGAGTTAGCTATAGGAGACAACGAGGTACTCCTACTTTTTTGTCGCCTATGACGCCTTGGTGTGGGTGAGCGACTCTTCCGCCGTCTAGGAGTTGGTGAACGACTTTTCCGGTGGCGGCGCGGAGATATCGAGCGGCTTCTCCGTCTGTATAGACAATAAAACATATGAGCAAGTGGCTAAATGTTTAAAACTACAAATAAGATCATACGCACCATACCATCTGCCCTAGCACAATAGACAAAAGCAATTTACAGTTACCTCTTATATTGCTAAGTACAAACTGTGAGCTCCATCTTTTATCACAAGAAACCGCTAAATGTCACAATCGAGCATGAAAAGAACACGAATCAGCACCCATCACCTGCTCACTTTCCATATGGAGGAGAGCAACTGCTTTCTTAAGTTTTTAGTACAAAAGGAAGGTATTATTTCTGAATTATATTACATTTAGTATGCTCTTCACCAAAATCTTCTAGATGACATTTTCAAGGTTTAGTCGAAGTCAGATCTCTTGCAAGACACAGCCCAACAATATGTTCTCAAGACAACACTTGGAGAATAATTGAGGGTCATCAAACCAAATACCACAGGACTCATGAATACTGAAAATTCTCAGGGCAGCAACATGTCATAGGAGCAATAGCCAGAAAGTACACAACTTCATAACTCGATCATCTGCTATAAACTCTTATAACAAAAATCCAAATAATGAGCCATTACCATACAAACTCTACCAGATTATTCCTGTGAAAACCAATTCTAAAAATGTTCTTGGAAGCAAAACTTTTAAAGTATTGTAACATTATGGATCCATTCTTAGCCGTTTTCAAGAAAAAAAGGAGCACGACATGCTTTGATTCCAGCACGAAACTTAATTTCATGTTCGCGTTGCTGAATTTCTATGGTTTCAGGTAATTCTCCAGCACGTCTCGGGCTCCAGTCAAGTACTATAAAACAGAATCTTGAGCCACATGATTATAATAAGTCCCATTTCTATGGTTTCAGGTATTTCTGGAGTACATGTCTTGGGCTACAATCAAGTACTGAAAAAAAGCACTACAAACTACAGCGGATTGACTTAAGTCCCATTTCACATTTTCACCATCAATGTTTAAAGCTAACTTTTCAGATCAACTATTGAGGCACGCGGACCTTGTGTAATCTCAAACATATGTATTATAACTAGGGTGAAACGTATTAGATCCAAGCAACAACCCACTGCTTGTTGTAATTGTGTTTTTCCCATTTACAAAATAGCCAATCACACAGAGAATGAAAAGAATATTTATTAAAAAGTCATCGGTTGAAAGCCCCTTGTAAATATGCAAAGCATATCTATTTCATTATACCTCCACCCTATAATGGAAGTCCCTTGTAAATTTTCGCTGATGACAGAAAAATAAGAACTGCTAGTGCATAAAAATCTCACAAAAATTGCATAGCTACATCATCCTATCTATGTAAGCCAAGTGCCAATGAAGATCATGAAAAGAATTCTTAAATTGGAGAATTAATGCCCTTTTAAGCTCAATGAAATATAATTTCGGATACGCAAACAGCCAAACCAGACGAATCACATAACTTTAACTACGTCCCATAACGCCTAAACATCACAGGATGCAAAAGATAAGATCATAGCTAAACTTGAAATTTGCCTAATACACAGAAGGGAAACATCATGACCGTTGTAATTGTTTAAAAACAAAACAATTGTTGATACGCTGATGGAAGAGTATTAGGAAGGAAAAAAAATCACTTTCTACTGATTGCTAAAAAATAAACGCACAAGAACGAACATAATCTTAATCGGGTGTCAATCACCTGCTATAGGAATAAGGAGATCGGCTGCTTCGATCTCTTCGGCCTCTATATCTGCGGCTGCCATACCTGTGTCCCACCGGCGACGGTGACCTTGAATATCTCCGCCTTTTATACGACGGCGACCGGGACAGTTCCCTATCTCGACCCATATCCCCTCCAATAGATTATATCTAAAACACAGTATCTCCTGAAATTCAAGTTTTCTTATCCATAAGAATCAGAATACTGAAAATTTAACGAAAAATTATGCAACTTTCGTGTTGCTATCTGAAATTACCGACGAAAAAACCAGGTATTCACCTTTCAAGATGATGATGAATGAGATCTGCAAACGACGATCGTGACATACAAACGTTGGAACCCTAGAATTTAGGTTTTCGTGTTCTGTTTAAAACTTCGATCCTAATGGTAAATCGTAATGATTTTGTAATTACAAACCTAGTCCCTTAACTTTTAAGAATACAATTTTAGTCCCATAAACTCAAATTAACTGACCCATTTAGACCCATTAGGTTAATTAATGTAACTTGTTTTATCCTATTACCTTCACTTTCATCTTTTCTACGGTTATACCTAAGGGGCCGTTTACCAAACGCTTATTCAGGTAAGTGCTTACCAAGTCACGTTACCTCACCAAATGAATATGATACGAACCAAGAATCTTACTCGGTAAGAATGAGACAAGAACCAAGAGTCTTACCCGGTAAGTAAGGGCAATGACTCTTACCACGGTAAGCGCTTACAGGGTAAATTGTTGCATACGATGTCTTTTTCGATCTTCAAATGTTATAAATATTTAGTTATATTCAACAATTTCACGACATGGGCATATGAAAAAACTGATTTACAATGAAATACAGACCTATATATTAAGGGAATCCTCTATGGAAAAGGTATGCAGATTAGGATTGATATTGAAATCAAAAGCAATGAAAGCCAAAATAGGCAAAGTTATGATGTTTGAAATCAATTTACAGGATGAAATCTATCGAAAAGGGAATGGAAATGCTTTAGGTTTAATCTCTAAAACTTAAGCAAATAAGGTGATCACGTCATGTTTACGGTTTTAGAGTTGACACCGTGAAAGGATGGTAGATACGACCGACATATATTGAATCGGGTTATTTATGACCGAGATACCGTGAAAGGACAGTGGATGCGAAGTTCAACGGACCATAAATTTACCTAGGCAGTATAAGCGTGGCATAGGGTTGTGAAAACAATCTCGGTCCCTTGACGAAGGGTTTTGAAAATAGGCGGGAGACGTGATATGCGATGCCGTTGGTGCATATATAAATTGAAATTGGCATATATGTATGCATAATATCATGAATTTAGCATACATATATTCCTATGACGATTTTTTATTTGTTTTCATGTTAAAACCTGTAATCACTCGGCATAAATGCTTAAAAGAATAACATGCGCCGCAGGTTAGTTCTCGGGGCTTTAAATGGATGTATAATGCATGGGGACTTCAACTTGAGGTTGTAGAAGTGAGAACACGTGCTAAATACCATGTACGCTTCGTGATGTGTCACACAAAGGAGACATGTGTCCGTTATGCGTTTCGAAACAACTCAGATCCATTTAGTCGAATACGTGTTTTGAAATTAGGTTGTTAGATTTACTATGTGCACCATACCCTAACCGACCTTCTAATTATTTGTCGACCATTTTCCCTGCTTCTTAGGCTTACGGCAGTATAGGTCAGATATTGTGATACAATAAATTTGCAGCTATGAAATATGATGCTAGAAACAACGTCAAAGTGAATTCATGGTGTGAGCGGTTAAAATTTGACGTTCATTCAAAGTATTAGGGTTTTTTTTAACGAAGCTTGTTTTATCCTACAAAGTATAAGAACCAGATCAATTTGACCATTCTGATTTACGATTATGACATTCCGCTTGGTAAAAATTTGTGTCCTTTTCAATCCTTGATCTTATTTCTGAACATATACAGGACACAATTTCCATCTTTGTGTTATTACGGTATGCGTTTCAGTTATAGGAAGTGCAAGTAAATATGCATCTATATCGATGTAGCATGTTGTCGTTAGCATCGCATGCTTTTGTTCCCTAAAGAATGAAGACTTCGTCATGCTGTCTGTATGTGCCTTTGTCCTCGTTTTTAAAACGAGCTTCGTGCAGGTCCAATCTGAATTGGTCTTCTTTATATCAGTAAAGCTATGTTTTTATGATTTGCCTCTTTTAACCCATGGTATTACAATGATTCAGGGGGTTTCTTGACAAGGTCCCAGGGTCATTTACATACCAAATTAGACTTGAAAGCATAGCTTAATTAGGTAACGTTTTATAGTTTGCCAGCCATGTTGAACACGTTGAACCGTAAAAGAGGGGCTTACACGTTATTTTTTTTCAAGAATGGAAAGGTCTGAATATATATTAAAGATGATTCAAGTTTGTAACACCCTTTAATGAAGTTTTTATCAATGTTATCAAAAACGCACCTTGGCGTTGAGGCGCAACCTTGCCGCCACGTTAACCCCCTTGGTGTGGATATAAGGCATGGAGCTCGCCATGACCCGCTCTGGCGCGCCATGGTTATGGTGTTATGAGGTGTGGGAGGAAATTTTCAATTTTTAAAACTTAATATTGTTCGATTGCTTTCATTTGTTGTTCTTTGATTTCATTACTTTGATTTTGTTGTTTGATTAGCAAACAAGGATCGTAAACAATGACTTATTACTTTGTATATTTGATATCATTTTTGTAAACTCTGTATATTTGATATCAAATTATCATTTCATTTTCTTCTTTTATTTATCGTTTTATATGAATTTAAATTGTCAATAACTTGATCATTATTGTTCATATATATACATACATATATATACATATATATATATATTCGTCTTAAGCCGCGCATTTGAAAACGCCATGACCTCGCCGTAACTCGTAAGGCTTGAGGCTTAACCTCGCCGCCACACCACGCCTCACACTATTTAGAACTTTGGTTTTTATCAATATAATACTAGTTTTTCATGATTTTAAACAAGATCTAAAAGTTCTTTTCATAATTTTCAAATCTTTCAAGATTTTTTTCAAGTAAATGCATTATTTAAAGTGTATTTTAATGTTAAATTTTAACAAATCTTAATTGAAAAAAATTAAGAACATTTTTCTATAAAAATATTTAAAAATGTTCTAAAACCTAGGTCTGGCCCATGACCGGGTTTGGGACCGGTCCGGTAGGACCAGAACCGATTAATAGGCCTAGAATCAAATGATTAGTTCTAGGATTTTATGTTGAATTAATCGCGATGACTTCCCTCACATCAACGGAGATTTTACGACTCTTTGATCGACCTTAGATCATGTGTACTCGCTCAAAATAATCTACGGGTCCGCCAGATGAAGTATATGTAGCTGCCGAGTAACGACACGATATAAGAAAAACTGGGTTAAATTTTAACAGTTTTGTTGTAATTGCATACTCTATAGATGGAAGGGGGTCAAGCATGTAAAAAATATCACAAGATATGACATAACATGAACAAAACCACAAGTTGGGATGTGAACCATTGTTGAATATCAAACCAATTGCTCTTTTTAACACAAACATTACACCAACCAACAATCAACCACCCACCACCTTAACCTTACAGGAACGCATCCTTCTCCAACAGCTTCAGTACGTCGTTCTGGTTGTTAAGTTTCGCAACTTCGATTGGCGTCTTACCGTCCATGTTCTGTAGCGTGCTGCACCAAAATCCACAAATATACAAAAATCAATACCAAATGAAAGCATTCACCACCTTAAAAATATGACGTAATTACTCTACCCAAGGGGTAACAAGACGCATCTCTATGAGACCTTCTGACCCTCAAATGACCAAAGAGTTGGGTTCACGTGAGACCAGCCTGTTTTCGTGAGACCCGTGAGACCACATTTTTACACGTAAACTTCACAGCAAAAACACTGTGAAGGTTAGAAAAAAGTCGAACCTTCACAGCAAAAACACTGTGAAGGTTAAAAAAAGTCACCTTCACAGCATTTTGCTATGAAGTTTCAAGTGTAAAAAGGTGGTCTCACGGGTCTCACAAAAACAGGCTGGTCTCACATGATCCCAAGTCAATGACCAAATCCAGTTTCAACTTTCACCGTGGTTTTGGAAGGAGAAACTTTCATGACATAAGGTACAAGTCATGTAACAAATGCTCTTTTTTTTTGTAATTGTGGACATCTGAGACAGCTTGTGTGCACATCAACAAATCTAATGAGGCCCTGAAGATAACAGCTAGAAAAATCTCTGGTAGTTGAAGAGGCTTGAACTGACGACCTATGGGAGGAGCCCCAGGGCCTAGCCTTTTATTTGCAAGTTGAGTTGGCCCTCAAGTGTAGGATTGGAGAAAAGATATATGATAAAGAAAATGAATGAAATAAAGTGGCGTGGGTGGTTTGTAAACTTACACAGCAGCACCATTATCAAGTAAAAGGGCGACACATTCTTTTCTGCCGTAACCAGCAGCGTAATGCAGGGCTGTGTTCTTATTCTTATCTAAAGCATCAACCTTGGTTCCAGCCTCAAGGAGGACTTGAGCACATTTCACCTGGACAAATGTAATCGCTAGTGAGCTTCTAAAAAAAAACCATGATTGTCATGCCACTCGTGTAATCATCTTTTACAAGGAGCTCTAAGATATTCCTTTACCCATTTTGTCATGATTTAGCCCTGAAAAACAAGATCTAAAACATTTCCCGATGAACTACGTGTGAGAGAGAATTAGCCAAAATGATCTCAAATAAGTTTACCAAAATTAATGTAAGTGAAGCATTTGCTATGTGTATTTTGTCATGATAAATTTGCCAGCACAACATAAAGTTATCCAGAAAAAGGAAAAAATGATCTATAAAGCTGACAAAAATTTGGCCCCTCCCCCCCTCCAAACAACTGTTCAAACAATATAGAATCTTCAGATAAGAATTGCAAAGCGAAAAAGCAAACTCATATAAGATGGTCTGTATTAGACTAAAAACCAACCTCCTCTGAAAGAAGAATATATCAATGGGAAAAAGATTATTTCAAGAGAAGAACTCAGAACAATCTGTTTGAGTGGATTTAGGTTTTCACTAGCTGAAGATCAGAACAGATTAACCCAAAACAATCTGGGCAGCTATAAAGAACAAATACGAAGCAGTATATTTCAAGAGGCAATAAAGCTAACCTCTCCATATCCACATGCAAAATGTAATGCTGTCCTTCCCTCTGAATCTTCTTCATCTTTATCGGCACCAGACTCTAATGCCTTCTTCAAACCCTATTTATTTCATAAAAACATATTTTAAAATAAAATTAGAAAAGCTGGAGTGTGAAACAGTTCGCTTAACAGAGAAATTAAGCAAACGGCTTGCAGTTGAATACATTGTTTGCAGCACTGAAGGTATAGATTTAGCTACTTTTTTGGCAGAATAGGATCAATACCATTGTCAGTTTCAGATAACAAAGATCAATACAATCACAAAAATATATATATATATACACAACAAAAATTACACGTTAATTCTGCACAACTTTTCGCAGCAAGTTGGAATGCTACTACAAGTTTCAGTGCTTGGGTAATAAGTATTTGTTACTTTGTGCACTGTTCTATTATTTGCCGGTGCGATTGCTAAATCTGCACAATATTAGACTGGAACTCTTGAAAAATAAGTGTATCATTTACAGAACCGAAGGATTTTTTGCTATGACTAGCTAAATTAAAATCATAACAGATACTGCATCAAAAAGACTTGTTTTTGTAAATAAAAATTAAGATGCCGGACCGTTGGATGGGATGGTTTTGAACCCACTGCTATGATAATCATGAAATAATAGTAGACAAGTGCATTTTTGAAGATTGCATATACCTCCACATCACCAACGCTAGCAGTTTGATGAACAATAGACTCATCCTCACTAGCTTCTTCAGCTTCATCGGCTCCTGGATTTCCAGCAAAAGCAGTAGCATCTCCTGCAACTGGAAGACCCATTGCTTCACCGAGTTTTTGTAGAACATCTTTGTCGTTCCAGTACCTAAAATTATGATGAGTAATACAAAGTGAAGGTGCATGGTGGGATAAACAGTTACATTTCAGAGAATATGAATTCAAAGTCTAATTCACAAATCAGTCAAAGCAGATTTACAGAATGGATCAACAATTAACCATGAAAAATGTAGAAGGGTGCAAAAATTATAGCCTAAAGTGTTAAATTTACCATTTACCATGCTTTACTGAATCCTTTAATCCTTGGATTGAGAGAATTGAGGAGTCATTAATGCATTATGCATATACTTACTTATCTAGGAATAATAGTTTATATTAAGGCTATGTTTGGCAAACTAGTTGATAAGCCCGCCATTAGCTGATGAACTAATCACGTTTGGCAAAAACTATCTGATAAGCTAGTTGATAAGTATAATTAAAACAAATCATTAATAATATATGTTACTTAATACAAACCAAATGGTATAGAAAATTAAATAATATATGTTAATTAATAGACTACAATTTGATTATTAATTATATATATGTATAGTTATAAATGTGGATTGGTGTAAGGAAATATGAATTTTAGAAAAAAAATTACATTAATTGATGATTTTAAATAATGGTTACGGATAATATGAATAAAAGCTGCATTGGTACATATCTTAATTAATTAATAATTCTGTAAAAAAATAATTGATAGTTGAATTCATTAAAATCATTTGTCGAAGTTTTATTATTTATGAAACAGGCTAAAATACAACTTTAATCTTCATGTAACTTACAAAAACATTTTTAAAATTGTTATATTTGATTTTTATTCGACTAAATATATAGAATAATATTAATAATATAACAATAACTAATATGATTAATAATAATTCAATATAATTAATAATCTATACTATATTATAAAGCATTTGATAAAAACTCTTAAAAATCATTTTTTTATGCATGAAGTACTGTTTATTGATACATATTACTTAAAAGTCAAGATTACAAGTAAACCGTGCGTAAGTACAACTTACTAAGCTTCATGTTTGAATTCGTGTAACTAACTGCAGATAAACATAATCAAATAGATATAAACATCTCATTTTAAATATAAAAAATCTAAAATATAATTAGAATAATCATAAAGTTCCAACAAAATACTTAATTATTATTTTTATAAAATATTATATTATTAAACCAAAATAAAAAAATGAATTAAAGAAATATACAAAAAAAGAGAAATTTTAAATAGTTAGTTTGGTACTAATATCATTTTTTTCAAATTTTTATGATATCTTCATATTTATATTTTATTCAAAAATAAAAATATTATCGCTTTCTCAAAACCACATAAAACCGTGTTATAACATCGACTGAGATAAAAATAAATAAAACGAAACATTAAAATTGAGATGTATCTTGTTGCATTGTGTGAGTATCCTTCTAGTTCAACTAATATTAATTGATGAGTTACAATTAATATTAATTATAAATCAATAGTAATTAATAACAATTAATTTTAATCAGGAGCATAATCAGAAGAAAGTGGCAAAAAACTTGGAGCATAATGGAACTGCTCCAAGTAGTGTTTCAATAAGCTAGCTTACAGCCATCCAAATGGACTTTTTCAGTAAGCTCATAAAATAAGCTAGCTTATGGGTGTCAAACATGGCCAGTGCAGATTTCAACTGTCTATCAGCATGTATGGACTATTGTCATAGGAAATGTTGTGCAAAACACAAATAAAATGAATGATGGACAACCATACTAATGTTTGTATCACGGACTATCTCCCACTTCCAATTAAATAGCCATTTTGTATCTTTCCTTTTGCAGTCTTCTTTTCTTTTCTTTTTATTGTTTTAAAAGGATGTGGCTGGCCGAGGTAGAATAATTACCATTACGATTTATGAATGTCAAACGTTTGGGGGTTCTCTCTTTCCTTTTTTGTCTTCTTCTAGGGAAGTGTGTTCAATTATTTGGCAGATACAACTACAAGTCGAACACTTACCATGTTCAATGTTAAACTGATTCAGCGAGCACTATAATAAATTTATGTACAATTCTAATTGGAACATATTTGTACATTAATCATGATACGCCAACTTATATTACCTCATCATTGCAGTAGGACCACCATTTTCTATGTCTTCTAAAATAGGTTTCAAGGATGGATCTTCTTTGATGCGTGCCATCCGTTCTTCAAGCTGATCCTTTTGAGCTGGATTAGATAAACTCTCAAGCATCTGAGACATTGACGGATCCTGCCAAATATAAACAAATAAAATGGTTTGGCCGTGAGTTTTAGAATATTATGTAAGAAATAACACCTAACAAACTTAGGAAACTAAATACCTGCATCAAAGCAGTACCAAGACGTTCAGCCATGGACATGAATTGAGGGTTTTGCATAACCTGCTGCATGGTGGAATAATATTGTTGCGAATCAAACTGTGGGGCACTTCCTTCACCACCATGAAAGGTCTTCTGGAGTTGCTCTGCCATTTGGTTGAATGACGGATCTTTTGCTATTTGTTCAGCTAATTCCTTTACACTTGGGTCCTGCAAACAGCAAGGAATAAAAAAGAATCCGGTAGTGTAAGTTGCCACTGCATCTAAAAGTATAAAAGATGTTACAGAGAAGGACCAACAATGTCGACCATGCTTAACCCTTCCTGTTAGCAGCAAACCTACTCTCACAAAGGGAGAAACAAACAGAGATACAAATATGCACGATACAAACAGAGTGAAAACTATATGGAACACTCGGTTGCTAAACTCATCTAAAACTACACGAACAAAGAAAAGCCAAACTACGTCTATTATACCTAAAGACAATTTCCAAGTTATAGAAGGTTGGTAAGATGTATATTACTTGCCCTAAATTTAGCACATTAATTGTAATACTTGATGGCTCTATACAACTTGACATCATTATTCAACTAAAGCTTCAATGTGGTTGGTAGTAAACTGATCCTAGAGTCACGATGTTAAGAGGACGTTATGGACACTTTCAGAAAAATAGACATAACCAACTGGGAATATGATTATCATTTGAAAAAATAGATACCAATGCAACAGCACAAGATCAAACCATCCTGTAAACTTTGAACAAACAGGTGAGCTTCAAGGCCAATATTTTTCACAACAAAAGATAAACAATTCAGTAGTTGATGACTAATAGCTGATACAATTGCTCAAGAAACTAGAAGGATTTGAACTGAGCCAAACTTTTCACACCAAATGGAACCTCTCATATTGAATTTAGGCACTGTTTTTATACATAATCTAGAACTGATACAATACCGAACACACACAGAAAAGGCTGAAAAATCTGGGACATCAATATTTTTGTTAATTCAAACCATTGAAGATAACCTATTAAGAGCAATATATGTTATCATCTAACATGCTTCGACTGCAGAAAAAAGTTGATAAATCTGTATGGAGCTACGGAAACCAGGGCATCCGTGAATGCTGGAAAAAAAATACTAGCAGTTACAAACAAACTTGTTAAGATCTGATCTTGAGTTAAGAGCTGCTTTCTTCAAAATTAACCAGCTATTTCTACATGATAGATCAGTGCAAAATCAGCTGCACTTGAGAACTTCGTAAACAAGCCAAATACAAATCTAGGCCACTTACATAGCTACTCAGGAGCCCAACCCCATTTTATCCTTATTTGTCCTCAAGCAAAAATATGTTATATCAAACTCAATCATCCAAGAGAAGGTATTGATTATTGAATATATGCAGAAGACCATCTAGCTATCTGGCAAATACATCCAAGCCACAAAACCAAGTACAGAAGGAAGTTTTTTGGGCATCATCTTTTAAGATACAAAATAATACCAATACCAGAACTATTAAACTTAATCGAAAGGTGTGCATGCGTGATGCGTGAGTGCATTGACATGCATATGTGTGTCAGTGAGTGGCATGCATGTAGAGAGACATGTCCCTGTTCAAATCATGGGTGGACATAAAAGAGAGTACCATACATTAAGTAGACCAGCCATAGATGAGAAATCAAAAGGATTTGCAGGAAATCCAGCTCCTGGCATAGATGGTATGGCAGATGCTGTTCCAGATTGGGCATCTGAGGAGCTTGATCCAGAGGAAGTTTTCTTCACAGATGGATCAGTCTTTTCTTCTGAATAAAATAAACATGTATGTAAGAATTTTTCAAAACAAGGAACAAGATATTTAGAATGTAGGCCAAATAAGAAAGATTTAAAGAATTCACATTGAAAATAACACCCAACACATATGGGCCACGCCTTTAATCAACTGGGTAATCAAAAGATTAATCAAATGGCATCCTTAAATTGCAAAGGTCTACCACCCAGACATCTTAATGTGATGACGCACGCAACGGTAAAGGAAAGAGGGCCACAATCCAAATTATTCTTCTCTAACATTTAGAAACTTATGAATATATATATATATATATATATATATATATATATATTCTTACATATCAGACCATCTAAAACAAAACACCTCGTATGAGCAGATAATTCTGCTCATGAACTTAAGACATGATCAAAAAGTATGAATGCGTGGAACGATAGCTCAAAATGAACTTGGAATGGAGTTAGTTTCCGGAACTACAATTTCCTTGCTCTAAGGAAGTCGACTTAAATAATGGTTTCTTACAGAGAACTTCATTCTGGTCTATATTCCTTCATCAAAGCTTCAGACAGAGCATCAATATATTACCCAACATCTACAAGCTCAGGGCCTTCTTTTTCTTCGGCAACTAAACTCACTCAAGCTTGAAAATAAGAATTTCATTATATGTACATTCTAAACTACGATTGAAGTTATAGATGAAGACTGTGTCAGTTTTACTGTGTAAATTGAGCTACTTCAAAATGACGAAAGAAAAAACAAGTGATTAGAAAATTTTGAAATCAATCAAAAAAATTAGGGAGTTGACAGTGGCTTTTAGCTAAGAGGTTAATGAACTATTTTCAGTCATGAGATATATTCACTTAATATCATCTGAAAATTGTCCAACTGTACATTCTCACCAGAAACCTGATATACCCTAGCTTGATTCGTGAACATAAAGTCGTATCAAAACCTTATTGGATTTCCTACTTTAAGTTATTTGAGGAACTAGACTCAGGTAAGGGAACTGAACCCTCAACTCCCATGATAGATATTTCCAAGATGACAAGAATTTATTTTTACCTGTGGAACAAATGGTAGAAACTCTTTTATCAGAAGATAACTGAAATTAGCTTTTATGTAAACTCTTTTAAACTTCTCTCCCTCCTTTCCCGTAGCACACATCAAGAAAAAGCAATATATAAATAAAAGAAGGAAACTCCAGTGCTCAATGACGTTTGTCCACAAACTAAAGCATAGCAGCAAGCCACCTATTTTTATTACTATCTTACTAGTATCCTGTAGGGTGCTTTGCATAACTGAACTCAACTTCTGTAACCATAGGAGCCAGATATAAAACGGGCTAAATTTTTGTTTAAATTTAACAGCATAAAAACCATATATTGATCTTTTATCAAGTATCCATCATTATCTTGTATCAATCTTAAATTTGAAGTTGTTCTAGCAATAACCACGTAAAATCACAGCACGATAACACAACTAAAAACACACCGGTGGCCGTCGTAGGCTTGACTTCGGGAGCCTTCTCATTCACCTGGAAAAAGAAAACACAATCAAAATCATCAACAAACTTGTGTACAAATAGAAGTCAATTCAAGTTCAATAGATCAAAACTAACGAATCAAACAACCCTAAACACTGCATAACACAGACAACGAAATCATTCAAATTTGACAAAAATTAACAAATTACAGTGAAGCAAAACTGTGACGTGAGTGAACAGAAGTACAAATAATCAGATTCAAAACAAATTGAAGCCTGAATTGAATCATTTTACCTGCGACATGAGGAGATTGCGGGTGATAATCTTTGGTTATCGGTTGGGAGAGTACTGAGTTATGGGCGATGATGGAGTGGAGTCGACAGAAAGGCATAGGGAAACACGAAAGAGAGACGTCTAAGTGTGGGCCATAGCAATCCTCGAGTCTTGACGAAATGAACGGCCTACGCCTGTTCTACTATTGGACCGGATTAGTTTACAAGTCGGCCGGTTCAACCCTTCTTCGAAAAACCGTGGGCTTCTAAGAGTCCAGACTCCAGACCTTGGGCCCAATAATTTTCATTTTAGCAAACCTAGTAGGTTTTGTTTATTTACCTCTTAATAGTTTCATTAAGAGGCAACCTTTGAATCATTAAGAGGTGAATTTTGTTTGACAAAAAAAAAGTATGTCTCTTAATGGTTTAAAACCCTCTGAATGATTTTTTATCCTGGATCTCCCTTAGCCATTAAGAGCCCTAATTTCATTGTATACAATTACTAAACAATTATATTTCATTTTGCACTATATCATAAGAGCCTCTTAATCATTATGACCACTTAATCATTTTGCACCAAAACCATTCAGCAATTGCCAAATTATTATTAACAACCACAACTAGTCTTAGGGGTCGTTTACTAAAGGCTTACTTAGTAAGTGTTTACCGGATAAAATTCCTCATCGGATGAGTATGACAAGGGCAAAAATCTTACCGAGTAAGAGCGATGAGAAGGATGTAGAGTCTTACCCGGTAAGTGAAGATGACGACTCTTACCTAGGTAAGTGCTTACCCGGTAAATTGTTGCATTTGATGCGTTTTGGTGTACTAAAATCTCACGCATCAGAATAAATTATAGTGTTGACTCGTATCATTAAGCACTTATTGGGTAAACAGCTCCTTACACGAAACTCATCTCTATAGAGTACAGACATCAATACAATGAGACATTTTTAATTCAGTGAGGATTACATTTTCATGCACCGGATAAATATTAAAGAAAATCAATTTTGGAGGTAAACTCGATGAAAACTTATACAAAACTACCATGAAGTGTGTGAAAGAAATGGATAATGTTTAGAGACCAGTAGACTACTAAAAATTTAATCTTTTTATTGTTTGCAGACAGTTGTCTTACATAAGATGCGATGATTAGCTGGATGATCAAAAATCGAATAACACAAGACGATTACTGGTCGTAGAGCGGATGTCTATATCTACCTAAAATCGAACAATACACCAATCCATTATTGAAATATAAATCAATTTTATTCCTGTTTGTATTAACTGTCATTGTAAGTAGTTTATTTAAGGGTGAGTATAGATCCATTCAAGCTCTTCCAAAATGAATAACGCGTAGAGTTGTTCACGAACAGTACGAACTGTTGGACCGCGCTACTCTGGCCAATTAGAAAGCTCTTCCAAAATGTATTTTACACAATTTGTGATTTAATATAAGTTTGTTTATTTTAAACGTAAAATATTTTCTAACTCCGATAGTCCGTGGAAAATCGATTGCTTATAGGTTGGTATAGGAAAATTGTCTTTGCCCGTAAGCGTTGGACAAAAGAAAAGGTTAGACCTGATATATATATATATATATATATATATATATATATATATATATATACCGGCTCACACCCGCAAATAAAGACCTCTGACTTGACCATTGTACAAATAGNTATATATATACCGGCTCACACCCGCAAATAAAGACCTCTGACTTGACCATTGTACAAATAGGGTTGTTTATATCATTAAACATCACGTATTGGTTATATATATATATATATATATATATATATATATATATATATATACCGGCTCACACCCGCAAATAAAGACCTCTGACTTGACCATTGTACAAATAGGGTTGTTTATATCATTAAACATCACGTATTGGTTCTACATGTCTCGATGTGGGCTTGGAAAGAAAAGTAGATTAGCCAAGTTGGTGGGGTGACTCTGTAACGAGTATGTGACGGGTTGTTTCTCTTTTTCTCGAACTTTTATATTTTCATATTGTTGCTTGTGTGTCAAATGAAAAACTTGTACGACTGTCTACCTTTCCATGCAGATTCCACTTGATAGTTTCCGTAACACATCTAAAACCTTAAAAACACATCACTTCATGGAATAACAATCAGAATGTGTGCATGTATATATCTATACTATATTATAAAATATTTGGCAAAAACTCTTAAAAATCATTATTTATGCATGAAGTAATGTTTCTTAATGCATATTACTTAAAATTTAAGATTACAAGTAAATTGTGCGTACGTACAACTTATTAAAGCTCCATTTTTTAATTCGTATGACTAACCGTAGATAAACATAATTAAATATAGGATAAACATCTCATTTTAAATATAAAAAATATAAAATATAATTAGGATAATAATTATCTTTATAAAAATTATATCGTTAAGTTAAAAATATATTATTTCACTATTAGATCTAAATTAAATTATAATAAAAAAATTGAATTAAGAAAAATTGTACAAAAAGTAACTTTTAAATAGTTAATTTGATATTAATATCAATATATTTTTTTCAAATTTTTATGATATTTTCGAATTTATTTTTATTCAAAAGTAAAAACATTATCTTTATCAAAAGCACATAAATCGTATTATATATCAACAGAGACAAAAGATAAAACGAAACATTAAAATAAAGATGTATCTCGTTGCATTGCACGAATATCCTTCTAGTATAAATATAAATAAATAAATAAATATATATATATATATATATATAGAGAGAGAGAGAGAGAGAGAGGTTGTTATTATACAACCCATGACATTTGTGCAACCAATACAACTCAATCTCAACTGTCCATTTCATTTGATTAATATGTGATTTCATAAAAGTTTTGATTTTTTTCTAATATAAAGTATTAATCATAATTAATGAACCATATTCATCTTCCATAAATATTTAAATCATAATAAATGAACTCTCATCATTTCCATAAATATCTCAATTTATTGGATTGCATTGGTTGTACAAATGCAACATGTTGTATTTGAAACAAACTCTCTCTCTCTCTCTATATATATATATATATAGAGAGAGAGAGAGAGTCACTGTATACATGCATACATGATCACATCTAACACAAACCGTCGATATTGAGTACTTTGTAAGCCAAACAGTCAAACATCAATCCCTCAATGTCGAGGCATACTTTTACGATACGAGTATTGGTTCATACAGTGTACATCAATTGAAACATGAGTTAGAGGTATTTTGTAACATATATTGATTCATAACATCATTATGGTTACTCGTCATCCATAACAATGTCATGGCATAAGGTACACATACGCATTAAACATTTCGTGCATAATATCTGAAGTTTGCGTTCATAATCAAACATTTCATGCTTTCATATCAATCACACATTATCACAGTCACATCATGCTCCGATGATAATATATAACAAAACAATCAGTAAAATAAAATAAGAGCATCCACAGTGGTGGAACTTCCAAAAACCTCACTTGTCATATCATTATTATCTCAACAAAGTAAGAACTTTAATAAATGAATATGGTAAGGACCAATAATCTTATCCGGTAAGAGCGAGACAAGGACATAGTCTTACCCGGTTTGTGAGGACGACGACTCTTACCATGGTTAACGTTTACCGGGTAAATTGTTGCATATGACGTCGTTTTGGTGGACTCAAATCTCACTCGATAAGTAAATAATAGTGTTAAGTTTTACCGGTAAGCACTTACCGGGTAAGTGTTCGATACACAACCCCTTAGAATTTCGTTGAAAATATTCTTGAAATTCATAGTAGAAACTTGAAAATATTTATGTTGAATTATCTATCTCTTTAACAAAATAATATAATAAGATAATTAAAAATTAAACTTGTTAATACAAAAACATGTATAAAAATTTACGAGAAATGAAAAATAAATCAAAATTAAAAAATAATAATAAATTTGTTTGTATTAGTTTTAACTTATATTTTTTTATAGACTAGAAGGGTACTCGCATAATGTAACGAGATATATCTCGATTTTAATGTTTCGTTTTATTCCGTCTTTGTAGTACTTATAATACGTTTTTTATGTGGTTTTGAGAAAAATATAATGTTTTTATTTTTGAATAAAATATAAATTTGAAGATATCATATAAATTTCAAAATAAATATATCAATATCAGTATCAAATTAACTATTTAAAAATTCTTTTTTTATGTAATTTCTTTAATTCAATTTTTTTTTTTGTAATTTAATTTAGACAATAACGAAATATTTTTAATTTCATAATATAATTTTTTATAAGAATAATAATTAAGTATTCTGTTTGAACTCAATAATTATCTTAATTATAGTTTAGATTTTTTATATTTAAAATTGATGTTTATCATGTATTTGATTATGTTTATATGCAGTTAGTTACACGAATTTAAAAATGAAACTTTAATAAGTTGTACTTACGCAAGATTACTTGTAATCTTGAATTTTAAGTAATATGCATCAATAAATAGTACTTCATACGTAAAAAATGGTTTTTAAAAGTTTTTGTCAAATGTTTTATAATATAATATAGATAAATTAATGTTGCAAGAATTAGAATTAGAATTAAAATTAAAATTAGAATGAATTAAAATTAAAATTGATTAATTTTTATAACGATTTTTATTGATAAAAAAAATAAATGAAAAAAATGTATAATTGAAATTGGAAGGAAATAATAATAAATAACAAAGGCATATTTATGGTATTTCTAATTGATCCTCTTATTTAAATTATAGATACTTGTAACATTAACATTGATATTTTATAAAATATAAAATTTCAACAAACCATATAGACTAAAAGTGTAATTTACTCATATATATTTATACTATATTATAAATCATTTGACAAAAACTTATAAAAATTCGTCTTTATGTGTGAAGTATTGTTTGTCAATGCATATTACTTAAATTTAAGATTACAAGTAAATCATACGTTATAACTTATTAAAACTCCATTTTTGAATTGTAGATTACAAGTAAAAAAAAATTACAAGGTAAATAGGTAAAAAGACAAAACACCTATCTCTTAACGGAGTTAGTGATCAGGGCCCACCTTCGAAGCAAAATAAAAACCATGTAGACGATTTCTAGAATTATCAAAATTCACTAAAGCTCCGAAACCAAAATTAGAGTTTGCTCGTAATATTATTATTAAAAAAATCGTAATATCATTAATATTAATACTTTCGTAATAACAATATTAACGGTAATGAAGTTATTTATTGGTTAAGTGACAATTTTAAAGTCAATCACTTACCTTACCAGATAAAAATTATAATATATTAAAATGATATCATGTACAATAATTTATCTGGTAAGCACTACCATAGTAAGAATCATCACGTCACTTATCATATAAGACTCTCAAACCTTATTATCGTTCTGATCGAATAAGATTCTCAGTATTTTATCATATTCATCTGCTAAAATAAAATGATAAGATAAAACTTAGGGTTGTTTACCTAAATGCTTACCCTAGAAGTCAACACTATAATTTATTTTCTAGGTAAGATTGTAGTATATCAAAATGGTATCGTGTGCAACAATATATATGGTAAGCGTTTACCCAGGTAAGAGTCGTCACCCTCACTTACATGGTAAGACTCGCTATCGTTATCATCGCTCTTACCATATAAGATTATTGGGTCTTATCATATTCGTCATTGAGGAAAATTGCCCGATAAACACCTACCAGGTAAGCGTTTAGTAAACGGCCCCTTACCCAAAAAAAAAACTTAGGGGCTATTTGGCAATTACTGAATGGTTTGGTGTAGAATGGTTAAGTGGTCAGAATGGTTAAAAGGCTCTCATGATATAATGCAAAATGAAATATTATTATTTGGTAATTGTTTATAATGAAATTAAGGTGCTTAATGGTTAAGAAAAACTCATAATATAAAATAATTCAGAGGATTTTAGAACCATTAAAAAACAGATTTTTTTTTTAACAAATAAGATTCACCTCTTAATGATTCAGAAACTTACTTGATTAAATTATTAAGAGTTATCAAACTTCATAGCTAAAAGTATTTGGAGAATGCGGGTTCCGCGGCCCAATAAAGTAAACCAAATTAAGCTCATGCAGCCCAAAATACACTACCATAAGGCCATAACACAAGCAAGCAACAACAACTAAGTAACCAGAAGCCTCCTAAAACGCATGAGAGATCCGAACTATCAACGAGTTTCTTCTTCAATCTGACCAGAATTCACCCATACAGGGATCGATTCGTACATATAGCTCTGCATTTCGGTATACGTAATTCATAAACATACATAATTCTAGAGATAGAGTGAGTGAAGATGGCGGAGAAAGCTAGGGTGTTGTTGCCGCTGTTGTTATTTATGTTAGTCTTGGTGCGAAAGGGTGAATCTGTATGGTTGAATATACCCAGATCGGGAAACAAGTGCGTGACGGAGGAAATCCACAACAACGTCGTCGTCGTCGGCGATTACGTCGTTATCTCCGATGATCATCTTCACCCCACTCCAACCATCTCCGCCAAGGTATGTTTGTTTTGCTCTCCTTCCCACCTGCATGCCTGTAACTTAAAAAAAGTCCTTTTTTTTTAATGATTATGAGGTTTGTTCAGATTTTAATGGGGTAGACGATGAAGTTTTTATGTGATTGAACATGAGTTGTCGATAATTCTGAGGTTTTAGTTCGTGAAGTATGGATAATTGTTTCACTTTGAATTGTTGGGAAAGTCGGGTTTTGGAATATTTCAAATACTTATAAACATTCATCACCCTTCTTCTCCAATTTTGTTTTGTAAAGAAATAAAAGGTTGAGCAGAGACAGGCTTTAGTTCGTGTAATAATCGTGGGTGAAATGTGTACTCACGGATCTTTAAGAGCAAGGGTAATTTGGAAGCATCAATTTACCTTCATGCTAAATTTTAAAGTATGATTCTCAAAACCACACGGGTGGTGCCTGATTGGTTTAAACTTGGCTCCAAAGGTCAAAAGTACCAGGCAAATCCAAGTAGGAAAAAAAATCCCTTGTGGCCACGGAGGTTCAAATGCGGTGACTCCGGGCTATCTGCATAGCAGGCGGTCGTCACATAGCGGGTTGGATATCCAGGTTAATAAAAAAAAGTATGATTCTCTTTTCCTGGCAGAAAGAAGAACTATAAAGTGGAATCTTCTTATTGGGGACAAAAGGAGTACATGATTGATGTAAAATCTATTATCCCCTGCTGCCAGAAAAAGCCACATCTGGACCATTTGATTTGAAGCTTTAATCCCACTTGATGCAAGTGTTTTCACTGTCTAATACTATAAATCTGTCCCTTTCTCATAGGTCAAGTGGCATGGGTCAATTCTGTTTTGCTTATTTTGAGTTGCAATGCAATCCTAAGATGTTTTCCTTCTCACACATGCATATGCATAGGTATACTGATCATCTGCTGGTCTTGCAACTGCAAGCTGTATGAGCATTACTACATTAAATGGCAATCATTTTGTAGTGTAAAGAACCCTCTTCGCCAACCCTAATAACCATAATAAACAGAAGCCTAACGTTTGTAAACTTTGCTGTTGTTCTGTGAAGTGAAACTTGTATCTGTTATGCACAACTGAAATTGAGTCAGCTACCCCTTACTTTCCTTCTGTACTACATGGATATGAGTTTTCCCGTAAACTTGAGGGCTAGACCGTAGAAGGACTGTGAAGTATGTGCTAACCATGAAATGCTTGCGTTAGTGGTTTATGTCTTGAAAAGTGGCGGTGGTCTAAGAGCTTGTACAGGTTTCAGTGTACAAAGGGTGGAATTCTGTGATGGGCTGTTTCCCATATACTAATGTTGTCCATGTAAAAATCGACGACTTACTATTTTTTAGTTAATTTCTTTTTGTTGTGTGTCCTTCCTTGGGTAAGGTCATATGAATGTCTTGTGACTCTTGTCTGTGATGGTTTTTTTCTCTCTTGAGATTCCTTTAAGTTCTTCTGCATGTGTTTATGTGACAGATTGTCACCTATGTTTTCTATACATACCTTCTACATAGCTTGTTGGCCTTATTATTTGTCTTGAATGGCCGCAATAGAGGATGACTTTTACTAGGGGAAAGGGCCATAATTCTGACAGCATACCTTCCAAGTTTAGTTTCTGGTACATTGGATTGAAGCCCAAGTTGCAAGGGAGGATGACCCTCAACTAGGGGGAAGGGCCATTTTTCTGAAGCAGAAGGGATTTTTTTTATAACTGATTTGGTTTGCTTGTTTCTCTTCTCTAATGCAAGGTGCTCCCCGTCCAGGGAATATATGGAGTCATTAAGACATCCAACCAAAGGGTCATTGGCCCAGTGTTATCCAGGTTATGGGTAGAGCCTAACCTCCGTGGAGGTCAAGGGTCTAAGCCTCACCAAAGGTGGGGAGTGTGTGTGAGTTTTGTCGTATATAGAAAACTAAAAGTATTATACATAAAAAAGACATCCAGTAAGAATGTCTCTGCTTCTTTATGTTATGCTACATATATTCTATTGCTGCATGTTCTGTAATCCAACTTACCAAATTCTTTTTTTGTGGCATCTTCTTCAAAAGGGCAGTTTTGTGGCAATTAATGCCTGTTTACTTACCTTTTTCTGCATGCTACTAAGATTATCTGAACTTGTAATGGCATTGCACCCTGAGCCACAGAAGTATTTGCAACTTGCTGTTCTTCTAAGGAGATTTCACAACGAACTAAAATTGTCTAGGCCAACCATCTACTGTTTGAAGATCTTATGCTGGATATGTTTTGTTGCATTGTATATTTGTATTAAGAGGAGGCTTGTGAAATGCTACTGAATGATAAATGCATGTCATTCTCTTGGTCTTGGTCTTTACATTTTTTTGGAGTTGCAACAGTTATGGTTTTGGCTACTTTCGCAGGTTACATCACCTTACGGAAACGTCCTTCACCATAAGGAGAACATAACACATGGTCAATTTGCATTCACATCAAGCGAATCTGGGCAATATCTGACATGTTTCTGGCCGGACCGCCCTGGTCAAGGCGGTGCCTTAAGTGTTAATATTGACTGGAAAATTGGAGTTGCAGCCAAGGATTGGGAGACGGTTGCTAGGAAAGAAAAAATTGAGGTGAGAAATAACTTTCAACAGTATGTTGTCTCGCTTCTTTTCGCTTCTCTTCACCTGTGTATCAAAAAAATGTCAAAAAGGATAGATAAAACAAGTAAATTCTCGAGCATTTGACAACTGTAAATTTAAGATGGCTAATATCTAAAAATAGACAGGACGTTATTCCACACATGTTGTAAACCACACTATCATTCTTGATTTCTTTTGGTAATGTCCGATTATTTGATGAATCAAGGTTCTTGCGTGGCAAGAATAATCTTTTAGCCAAATGTTTATTTATCAACATCTTGTGCCATATGTTTTCTTGTACCTAGTGAGTGATACTGTCATTCAAGATTTTTTTTTTGATTAACCTGGATATCCAACCCGCTATGCGAGCCGATTAATCTCAAGGTGACCACCTGCTTTGCAGATAGCCCGGAGTTACCGCATTTGAACCTCCGAAGGGGATTATTAATCCTTCTTGGATTTGAACCTGGGACCTCCGGGTACTTTTGACCTTTGCAACCAAGCTCAAACCAATCAGGCACCACCCTTGTAGTTGTGATTCAAGATTTGGTTACAAGGCATATATTTTTGTCAGTTATATGGTTTGTGAATGTATCCTTACATCATTACAAGATTAACTCATGGTATTTTGAGTCTTGAAGATTCCTTTATTTGTTTTACTGAAGAGTACTTTTAACCGTTCGACAAATAATCACACATTCAGATAAAAAAGTTTGTGTTTCGTAATTCAAATCAAAGATTGCGGCTTTCATGGATGGAATGATCATGTTATTTTCCCCTTTTCCATGCCTTGATACTTGCTTTGATTGCTTCATAGGGTGTTGAGCTTGAGTTGAGAAAGCTGGAAGGAGCTGTGGAAGCCATTCATGATAACCTGCTTTACCTCAAGGGCAGGTGAAACCTTCTCTTTGCAATTCGACTGCAATGATGTTAATCTGTTGTCGTTTTCTTTTAAGTATATAATAATCATATATGGAAAATACTCACGCACACTCCTGACCTGTGGTGGGGTTTGAACCCTTGGCCTCTAGGGAGGCTAGGATTTATTGGGAACCTGGATACCGCTCGGCCAATGACCATTTGGTCTGTTGTCGTTTTCTCTCAAGTATATAGTATTTATATACATCAAATACTCACGCACACTCCTCGCCTATGGTGAGATTTGAACCCTTGACCTCCACCGAAAGCTAGAATTTACCAGTAACCATGACCCTTTGGTCTGTTATCGTTTTGTTGTAGCCATGCGGATTCTAACCATGAATAATCCGGTTTATATGGTTATGCAGGGAGGCAGAGATGAGAGGAGTGAGCGAGTCTACAAATTTTAGGGTGGCGTGGTTCAGTATCTTATCGTTGGGTGTTTGCATTTTGGTTTCTTGTGCACAAGTATGGTACTTGACTCGCTTCTTCCAAAAGAAGAAACTGATCTAGATTTGTATCCCCTCCCCGTAATCTTCTAATCTGAGATAGGACTTGATCGTAGAACCATCGTGTTTTTATCTTTCTGTTGATTATGGTGGATTCAAGATCCTCGATACCATCTGTAGAGATATATATATCTATATCCTCTTACATATTCAGTTTCCAGATAGCGGGAAATAGTTTTATGACCACATCGTATTTATCGTGTTTCTGGATGCTTGGTGAAGAATATTTAAAAATTTGAATTTATATAATGTTGATAGAACTAAAAACGAGTTTAAACCATATGGTATCATATGCAACAATTTACCCGGTAAGCGCTAACTGTGATAAGATTTGTCGCCCTCACTTACAGGGTAAGAATCTCGGTCCTAGCCTTTGCTCTTATCGGGTAAGATTTTTGATCCTTGCCATATACATCCGGTGGGAATGTGACTTGATAAATACTTACCTGAATAAGCATTTGGTAAACAGATAAGGTGGGCAATTGTCTACTACTAAGAGAACCTTTTTGCCATTCATTCTCATATCAAATCAACCAACAAATTCTTAGAAAAAAGTTGTCCAACTATCTTGTTGGATGGTTAAGATTATTCATGTTCACATTATAAAAAAAATCTAGTTTTTTTATATAACCGTGGATTTATCGACTAATCTTTAAGGCGATCACGAACGGTCTGAAGTCATCATAGGTGAACCTCTATGGCCACAAAGGTTTTACCAGCGTTTGGATTCGAACCTGGGATGAATGAGATTTTCCACTACATTCCCTGAGGCTTAACCAGTATTCTAGTTTCTTTTTCCAAAAAAAGAATTATAGGAAAGCATTTTTTTGAATATTTTATGATAACCGAACCATTTTCACTGAAACGCTAATAAGGTTTGAATCATATATCTTGTCTTGAAACGTTCTAACCATCCACCGTAAAAAGTTGATATCATCAGGATTGCTTTTCACCAAACGTTTTTTCGCGAAAGTTTTCTAGACAAGTTCATTTTGTAGAAGGCAAACAAATTTAATTAGATCATAAGAAAAAAAAACACAGTAATATTTAAGGGTCCATGAAAATTAGATTCTGCAAGGTGCAGTGTTCAAACAAGATAGATAAAACCAACCAAAAAAGAGAAAAACGGAAAACCGAGTGGTCATGTAGCTCGCGACCTCAGTGAAGATCTATCCATAACCATCATAATCCGAGTTTCCTAAAAATCATGAAGTCCATGTGATGTTAAGGCATTTTGACTGTGACCAAGTACAAAAAAAAACGAGGGTCTAACTGGGGATCTATCTTGTATTTGGGTAAAGTCGTATCGCCCATTTGCCAATTGAGTTACACGACGAATGCAATATTATGCTATTATTCAACATCCATCAACAACTAATATCAGCTAACAATTATCTTATTAATCAATAACCGATATTTCAACAATTTAATTAACCATTTTACATCAAATCGTTTAACATCTATAAGAAAATAACAGGAAATTGACAAAAATAGCGAATCTCTCCCAACCAAATTCGTTTTTTAGTCACTTTTGAAATCAAATTTCTATTTTAGCTAGAGTTTACTAGAAAGGTATTCGCACAATGTAGCGAGATACATCTTCATTTTAATGTTTCGTTTTATTTTTTTTGTATTTATTCGTATAATATGGTTTATATGGTTTTGAGAAATATAATGTTTTTGCTTTTGAATAAAAATAAATTTGAAGACATCATACAAATTTGAAAAAATATATCGATATCAATATTACATTAACCATTTAAAAGTTTTCGTTTTTTTAACAATTTATTTAATTCAATTTTTTATAATTTAATTTAGGTTAATGGTGAAGTAATTTATTTTTGCCTTAACAATAATTTTTTTTATAAAGATAATGATTATGTTAAAACTCAATTAATTATCCTAATTATATTTTAGATTTTGTATATTTAAAATGAGATGTTTATCATATATTTGATTATGTTTATCTGCAGTTAGTTACAAGAATTCAAAGATAGATCTTTTAATAAGTTGTACTTAAACACAATCTACTTGTAATCTTGAATTTTAAGTAATATACATCAATAAACAGTACTTAATGCATAAAAAATAGTTTTTAATTTTTTTTGTTAAATGCTTTATAATATAGTTTAAATAATATAGATAACTAAAAAATAAATTTGATTCGAAATTTTTTTTTGACTAAATTCTTGGAGTATTTTAAATTGAATGAGGGAATATATAATGTTTACTTGGGTCATGTGTAGTTGTAGTGGGAGTGGCACAAAACAGATGCTTCCTCATCAGCACCAGTAACAGTTGTACAAAGAAAGTACACAGATACAGAGAAAAGGGGATGGATTCATGAACCCTCTCATCATCTAAATTCCATCAAGATCATCCATGTTTTCAAAAGATTGACACAGGAGATAGAGGCAGAGAGAGCGCACAGATGCTTTGCAAATGGGAAAATCCAAACCCGAATTGCCAATTAACCATAACCATAACCATAACCAGCAGCAGAATCGTCATCGCCCTTCGTTCTTTGTTCGATGTTCGAGGGGTTTCTCGAGATTCGGTCAATTGTTTAGTTTCAAGTGCGTTTTCATTTTGCTTCTTAGCGTTTCCGTTTCACTCTCTGCGATCTTCTCGGTCTTCCATTTTCAACATAGACAATCTGGGTTTGATGCTAAAGACTCAATCAAGAACAGTGGTATATATTGGTTGATTCATTTACTTTTTCGGTTCTCTTTAATCGTCTGTTTGGAATTTTGATTTTGATTTTACTGTAGTTAGGGTTTTGTTTTGTTGTGTTCTGTTTGTGATATGAGTAGGGGTTTTTGATATTCGAATTTTGCTGTGTCATAATGGCTTTTGAAATTGGTTAATCTTGATGATTGGCTTTGGGTTTTGATCGCGAGAGAACTATTAGGGTTTATGGAGTCCTGAACAATTGAGGAAACGGGTTAGCCGGAATTCAGATTTAAGGGGAGTTTAGACTTTAGTGATCTTAAATTAGGGGTTTTTAACTTTGTATGCTTGCTTGTTTATTGCTAATTTCCAACATTAATTTTAGGGTTTATATTATTCTCTTGGAATAAGAGTTACTTGAACTTATAATCAGGGTGATATCATTCAGTTTTCCACTTCCTCAAATTAGTAATATTTGATGGGTTATTTATAGTTCAAACATCAAAGCAAATTATTGAAATTTAAAAAGTTCCTGCAAGTCTCGTTGTATTATCATGGTTCCTTGCAGTTTATAGTTGAAAAACCTATATTTCTAATCTATTTCTTGCCCTTAGGTTCCCATAATATTATGTTGTTTGGGGGCATATTACTAGTTACAGTGTGGTTGTAGGTGGTGCAATGAACTAATCATATTTGTTAGAAACGACATTATGACTCTCTTCCACAAATTAAAAGATATGTGAGATAACCATTGTTAGTTTTTGTTGGATTGATTGATCATATCTTTTGTTCTTAATGGGGTTTTGATTTTATGACATCTCAGATCTAAGTGTTTTAACGAGCTGTTTAATTTTCCCATGTAATATGTTTTTTCAAATCCAAGATTATGTATCCCAATTTTGAGGGTTGGTGTCAATTTGTTGTTTCTATAGTTTGTGTTACCGAATAGCTTACAACTAGGCTTGTAAATGGATGTTCATTGAAATGAATTTGCTGATATTTGAATTTGAAGTTGAATTTTTGAATATGATTAAAATTTCCAACATTCAAATTTGGATGATATCAGATTTCAAATAAGGTGTTATAACTAGTGAAAGTATCTAAACACTTTTCTGAAGTCAGATCTGAATATGAATCCATATCCACATCCAAGTTCAAAATCTGACAAATATATGTATATGTTATATCATATTACATGATTTGGGTGTTCCTCAGTTTTTCATTTTTGTGGGGGTTTTTCTCTGAACCTCCCTCTGCATGTTTATACATAAAAGCATATAGTACATGCACATATACATATGGGTATATAGCTATATATCAACATATACATACATATATTAAATTTATAGACTTGTATGTATGTATGTATGATGTGTTAAAATTAGAATTCTACGTAACAATTGGTCCATTGCTGGATTTGTTGGCTACCATTTAGGGTGCATTTGAACATGGGATGGGACAGGACTAATCAGAAAACGTTTGGCCAGTCATAGACTTTGGACAAGGACACAAGATGGACTACTTGACAAAAGACAAATTTACCTTAATTCTAATACGCTATATATAATATTTTATATACACTGAAAAGAAATTATGTATGAATGTTTTTTGATTAAATTAATTTAAATGTTTACTTGTCTTGTCTTATTTATAATTATCATATGATACAAAAACATTAAACGATACTTGAGGGACAATCTGACCAATTTAATTTTGTACCGTCTTGTACCAGTCTTATCATACCCTATACAGACAATCAGTCATGTCCTATCCGGTTCACATACCAAACACAAACTTATAGCTATGACCTTTGTTTCTTTTTCACTTGGACTGGAGTTGGTGGTGGTGGCTCACATGTGAAAGATTAAGTGGGATTTGTTTTATTAAGTAGCGAATCCTAAGCCCTTCATAAACCATTCGCAGTGAGCTGTTATAACTTGCCACCATGCTTTCAGTTGATTTAAAATGTGATTAGGGTCAGTATGCTACTTTGGGTTCGGCATGATAGATTTATTTAGATTGAAAGAAGATGTATTGATTTGCCATTATGCTGAGTTTTTCACAATCCAGAGTATAAACATGATGTTAGTAGCCTATCTATTTAGTGGTTTTCGATGTCAACATATGCTTATGATATGAATCTCCTGGTTTGTTTGGAACATTGAGTTGACCCTCCTGTTATTATATTCAGCTACGGTGCAGGCATACTTCAGATTGGAAAAACCTGTTTCCTTTCTTCTTCCTCAAATTACAAGACTAGAGTATGATATTTACAACGAAATAGGCGTACCTTACACACAGGTTCGTTGCATTCAACAATAAAAGCTAGTTCTCTTCTTTTAGCTGCATTTTAGCAAGGACAAATTGCATGAAAATGCAACAACTTTTTGTCTGTTTCTATTTTGTGTAGTGTACTTTCAAAATCTTAATGATATCTCAAAGATTTCAGACCAGAGTATGTTAAACAATTAGGAAAGAGACCAAAGTATGTTGTATTTTCATGCAATTTTCCCTTTTAATAATATTGTAATTACATATGTTTTGGAATATTTTTCCCAGGTTGCTATCTTGTCCATGCACGAAGCTGGTGCATCTAACTGGACCGATGTGGTGTTTGGCATTCTTTCTAAACCTGTGAATTCTCCTATAAACTCGGTGTCTTTGATTCTGCTGAGATCATCATTAGTTGATCTGTTTACACAATGTTCCAACTTGACACTGACAACATCAGTTTTTGGCATGCCATCTTCTATTGAGATTCTCAAATTTCCTGGCGGGATCACTATCATCCCGAAGCTATCTCTCTCCGGTGGGATGCTACCACAAGTCCTCTTTAATTTTACCCTCCGTAATTCTCTACATGATATAGAAGAAAATTATCTTCAGTTGAAGGAACAACTGGAATCAGGGTTGCAGCTAATGCCTTATGAGGTACACTTTTTGCTCGACTTTTTGTTTTATTTACTTATACAAATGAAACACCATGTCATTTACATCGGATCACGTTAATTCTGCTGTGGGGTTGCTTATCTTTTATGCCGGAATTCTTATATGTATATTTGTCAAACTGGATGACGTTATAGGCTATGTTTGGCAAACTAGCTGATAAATGAGATGTCGGCTGATAAGCTAGTTGTCGGCTGATAAAGTAGTCATATTTGGTAAAAAGCAGCTAATAAGCTAGATGACAATGTAAAATTACTAAAATGGACATGTTGAGAAGTGATGGAAAAAAATATAAGGAGCATAATTGGGAAAAAAAAACCCATGGAGCTTATTGAAATGCTATTTGAAGTAGCTTTTCACCGCTAGCTTATAAGCCAACTTATGGCTAAACAAATGGGACCTTTTTAGTAAGCTCAAAAAATAAGGTACCTTATGGTTGCCAAACATGCCATAGTTTAATCGGCTAATGTCCTATTTGGCATTTGTCTTTTTTGGTGGTTAACCCATTTATATATTGCAAAATGTTTTTAATTAACGGTTCTCATATATTTCGTCTTACACAGAGCGTATTTGTACAAGTGACAAACAAAGATGGATCAACACAAAATCCGCCTGTTACAGTCCAGGCATCAGTTTTGTCAAATCTAGGGAGCCTGGAGCCTCCGAGACTAAAGCAATTAGCGGAGGAAATCACCAGATCTCCCCCTGCAAAAAACCTTGGCCTAGATAACACTGTTTTTGGTAAAGTGAAGGAAATCAGTTTATCGTCCTATCTGTTTCATACTCTTGATGCACCTACACCTTCACCCTCACCCATGCCATCACCTGATCAAAATGATCATGTGGGGTCCACCATCATTCCATCTCCGGCTACTTCCCCATCTCCCAACTCACTTCACTTACCTCCTTGTACTAACTGTGTTGCTTCTTCACCTAGCCCCCAAAATGAGCCTAATCAATCTTTACCTCCAGTTTCAAATCCCCCAGCACCTGCAATGGACCCATATTGTGGTGGGTCTGATCTGTCACCATCATCTGGTCCTGCTCCTGGTCCTGATCCAAGTTATCATCCCCTTCCACCTCCTCCTACTCCTACTCCTACTAGTCCACTGCCCATGTATCCAAGATCAAGAATGGCACCAAATCTTTCTCCTTTACCTGCTGTATCCTATGGATCCCTTCCTCAACCAGAAAACAGGAAACAAAAAGGTTTGGCGCCTTCACCTCTTGCGGTCTTACCGTCTTCTTCTTGTAAGTTACTTCTCCCTCTCTATTTCCCTCTCGTGTTACTTGTGGTGTAGAGGTGCTCAGAGGCAGATTTAGATATTAAGCTCACTAATTATTTGAAATATAAAAATTATTTGTTTGGCCATTGCACCTCATTTGCCTGCCCTTTTTGCCAAATAGAAATTATTAGAAGTGATGTTATGTTAATGCTTGCAAATGTGTCAGTTTTTGGCCTATATTTTTGGGGTTTGCAAAAGGGAAGGTACAATGGCCAAATAAGTAGATTTAGTAGAAAAGATTAAAACTTAGTTTGATGCATGGGTAAACATGTAATTCCTAGCACCAAACTTTCCAAAAATGGAAATACAATGGGTAAACATGTAATCATAGCAACAGAACTTTCTGAAAGTGGAAATACAATGGATAAACATGTAACTGTAGCAACAGAACTCTCTGAAAATGGAAATACAATGGATAAACATGTCATTGTAGCAACATAAAGGAACTCGAAAAGAGAAATCCATATTAATATTTGCAATTTGTGATGGTTATGGATCCTAATGTGGATTTTCTCTACGGTCTTGCAGCTGCAGCAAGTGGTGTTTTGCGTCCGTTGTTGGTCTTGATCCTCATGGCACTGCATATCCTCTTACTATAGCTATAACATTAATATGCAGATATACAGTTTTGGTACTAGTATGATAGAAAGAAGGTTCCTGGTATATACATACAACCATCTATATATATATAGATTGCAGGTCAAAGCCAAAGTGTGGCAGGCCTGTTTTTTCGACAGCCAGCAGACAGAAGGATATTCTCAAAGGGAAGATTGATGCAGTATTATCAAGGAGATCCAGCTTGCAAAAAAGTGTAATGTATTTTGTGGTTCTTTTTGAGCATCTGCATGCATGTCTAGTTACTACTGTTAGTATGATCATCATGACATGATTCAAAACAAAAACTACTTGGAGTTCCATTGTTCACAAACTCAAGTCAATGGAAAACAACTACATTTTCTATGATGGCTTGGTTCCAACTTAAAAAGGTGCGACTGTGGTTTGGTTTGGCTTGGCTTGGTGTGTGTTCAGAAGGGCTGGACCAACAGCTTGTTGGCAACCTTCGGTTGGTGAAATGGTAAATAATGTCAAGTCCAGCTGCACAGTAGATCCAATCCCAACCTACTTAGAGGTCAAGGTACTTTGTTACATTTACGGTATATAAATATCGTATATATTAAAAATAGAAAACAATAAGTAATGGAATGATAAGAAGAAAAAACAGTCGGTGTGTGGGAAAAGGAGAAAAAAAGGGCTGACATCGATGGTAAATTGACCGATGGTGGGTTGTGTGGCAATCAAAAAAAGACGTAGCATGTACTAGGGTGCCCAAAAACCCGATCAATCCAACCCAATGCGAAATAACTCAACTCGAAGCAACCCAATGTCTAATCGAGTTGTAAAATTGTCAAACCATAGGTATTGGGTTGATACTGAGTTATTATTATTTAAACCCAATCCGATGAACTGGATATCCTTTTATTTATTTGATTTAATATGATTGTTGAATTTCTATTAATATATACATTAGACAATTACATTATAATGTATACTTTTCATATACACATATTTTCAATCTATTCATATTTCTATATAACTTATTCATATATATGTTCAGTAATTGTGAACATATATATGTAAATTGAGAAAATTAACTGAATATGATATATGTAAGAAATATAGATAAGTTGTATCAAATGGTTGATGATGAAAAATAAATTAGAAGTAGAGAAATAACATATTCAAGGTTAGAAGAATATTTTAATATACCAAAGTATTAACCCGACCAACCCGTACGGGTTGGGTTGTGCATTGGTTTGGGTTGGGTCGGGTTAAGATTTTTCCAAGCCATAAGCATTGAGTTGGGTTGTTCAAATGTCTTCAACTCGATCAACCCAACCCATGAGCACCTCTAGCATGTACTAGTTGGTCCTAAGTGATCCAAAACTTATATGATGTTAAGTGGGACCCAATAAAAATCCAACGTTAGTTAAATTCTATCGTTAATCTTTCAGTAATTTAATAAATTTATTTTTTATTTTTTAAATTTGAAAGATAATCAATGTAATATATTTTATTTTTAAATTAAAATAAATTTAATCAGTATTTTTTTTTAATTTTTTAATTTGAAAAAAATCACTAATAAAATATATTTTATTTTTAATTAAAATAAATTTTACTAAATTTTTTTTTAAAATTTAAGTACTTTTTGTAAATGTAAGTACTCTTTTGATATATTTGTTTCATTTTGTAGATATAAGTATTTTTTTGTTCAAAAAATGTTTAGTACTTAATCGTTTAAAATATGAAAGTCTATTGGCTTTTTTTTTTCAGACGTGTTTTTCTTATTTTACCACGTTAACCAGTTGTATATGTCACAAAGATGTATCTAACATGTTTTAAAAAAATCCAAGAAGTTATTTAATAGGTTTTGAAATGTCCAACGACTTATTTGTTCCAAAATATTGTCCAAACACTTAATCATTCCGAACACTAAATCCATTATGTTTTTTTAGACTTTCCCATTATATAGTAATTATAAATCATACAAATATTTAAATAATTTAATTTATAAACATTTTTATTTGCATAAATACATACATATATTATTACCAAATTTAAATGAAAAATTTGATATAATTAGTAGTAGTTCAAAAAACACGGTTCACACAAAAAAAACCTATATTTTATTCGATTTAGAAGATCCTTATGAATTAACGGAGACGATGGTGGAGGTTGTTGCAACGACAATGGTGGATGCGGTGATGGTTAAAGGAGGAAGTGGTGGCTGGTGGACAACAGTGATTGTGGAGGACGTGAAGATGGCCGATAGTGGTGGGGAAGGTAGTTGTGGCTGGTGTGATGGAGGTAGCGGTGGTAGTGAAAGCTGATGGTTGTGGTGGAGGTGGCCGTATTGGTAGTGGCGGCTGTGACGAGGGGCGGCCGATAGTGGTTGTAGAGGTGGTATATGAGGTTGTTGTATTGGAAGAGGATGTGGAGGTGGACAACAGTGGTGGTAGTGGTGACGTCAATGCGTGGCGGAAGCAGCCGCTATGGTAGATATAGAGGGGGACGTTGTACCACTGCACATCTGGAAAGAACAACTAAATTAAATTTTTCGATAGAACACTAAAGTTAATACGAATTCTCTTGGAACTTTCTTTATACTTGCATATAAGGATGCAATAAAGTCAAAGTCAATGACTTAGAATTTAAATCCAAACAAGACTAGGTTAAGATCGGTGTTACTCAAACTCTCACCAAAAGTCACTATCTCCAACTATACAAAAACATTCCAAAGATTTAAGTCTTTCATGAGTTATTAACTAGCACTCAACTTTGCTCAAGTATCGCTAATACCGCCCTCATGAGTACCCGATGCACATGCCGATAAGAAAAAATGTTAGGCTTAACGCGTAATGAGTTTAAGCAGTTTCCATTTTTAATAGAATACAGTTAAACTGAAAGAGTGTTATTTAAACCACGTTTTTTTTTTCCAAATGATACTTTTTACTGGAAAAACAATATCTTTCCAAAACCCATAATTTTCGTGATGAAAACTCGTATATCGAAACACCCATTTAAATATGAAATTCAAAACCCAATGCCCACTCAAAAGGTGAATAAATCTTGATATTCAAATACCGGAAACATGGATAGAATTTAAGTACCCAACGCAACAAAATACGAAGAATAAACAACATTTGAAACATCAAATTCGTGGGCACATCCCGTATCTAGAACAACACCGGAAACATAGATAAAATATCCTATGTATCCACCTTTTCGATGATGGGGGAGACACGATATCATTGAATGTAACGAAACACAAAACCAAGCCACATATGTATGTTAATGAGCTTCACTATGGATCAATGGTCATTAAATTCAACTATTCCGGGTCTATACCTTGTATGGGACCCCCGATGATCCTGGATATGCTCGTTCACTAGAAAGTACACTGTATGGTTGATATATATTGAGAATTCAATATATAAAACACTCCTTTTTACAAGTTCTTAGTTAAATTATTTTCCTTTTATCCCTATATTGAGTCTTTTTATTACTTTATTTTTCCTTTTATTTATTATGGAGCTAAAGCATGTGGTTGACTTGTTTCTACACAAAATGGAGTCTAATGTAAAAAATTGCTAAACTGTTTGACACTACAGCATTGAAGCAACAGTGAGCTGATGCTTATATGGCTTTTTGAAGATCTTAATGGATAAGCTGCTGCCTTTTTGTGGGTTCTAGAAGACTCTATGGCTGCTGACTTTTGTGTAAAAATCTAGTAAACTTTTGTTGGGAATGATGTAACTAGTTAGTTCATTTTGTTCTCACTTGTTACCTTTGGTGTATTACCCTTTGGATCCTCTTTTTGTCACTTTGTGGTTTGTTTTGGTATAAATAGGGGTGTGAGGATTCAATTTGTATAATCATAAATCAGTTTTCATAAGCTGATTTTTAGACATTATCTTGTGAAGTAATCCAAGTTCTTAAGTTGCTCTTCACATTTAATTTTCGTCATTTAATTTCCGCTCTTTACTTTATGTTCTTTCATATTTATAGCTATTTACATTCCGTCATTTAATTTACGCAATTTATATTTATGTTTTTACTTTCCGTTATTTATTTTACTTGTCATTTATTTTCCGTTATGAATAGCTAATTCCATAGTTTGGGTGTGAGACAGAAATGTGAGATTTTTAAACCGAAAGAAAGTAGCTAATGTTTACAATGACGACGTTCCATTATTTCATTTAAGTTTTTATAAACACCAAAGATACTTCTGACGAGTTGATCACTTTGAAAGTGTTAAAGTGTCGTGGTCTTAGAGATAAGCCATTGAACGCACGTCAACTTGAATGATATGAGAGATAGACTTGCAAAAGTTGTCGACAAGGAGACTTGTCATTTATATCTTTCAAACTAATTAATTCTTGACATGTTGGTCACTTGTTAGAGTGTTAAAGTGCTGTACATTCAGAGATGAACTACCTAGAACACACACCAACTTGAATAATATGTGAATCGGCTCGAAAGAGTGATTTTTAACAAATAGATTTGTTTATCCATCTATTTTGAGAACACTATTCGTTACTATCCCTGGTCCGGATACCACATAAAGATATGAGTTAAAAGCTATAATATAGTGCAATAGTGAAAGTCCGAGAGGAATATCCTCAAAATAAATGGTGGAACTAAATTATGAATAACTGCTTGTTGTAGCATCCCTACATCATTGGCTACTGGAATTCGTGTTTAAGTCTTACCACAAGTCTTACACCCATGCTATCTTTGTTTATTATGTTATCTGCATTTAATTACCTGAATATCAAACTGAAGCCTTCAATTTCATCATTTGAAATTCATTTTTTTATTGGACTCTTATTAGACTTTTGTTACAATATCCGTGGACGATAAACCGGTATTCTACCACTTTATTACTAGAAAAAACGATATTGGACCATATTGTATACTTGCTTTGTGGTTCATTTAATTTGTCTAAAGGTGTGCGAATTAACCTACCAATGGTCAATGACTGATGTTCGACTTTATGATCCCGCACCAAATGGCCTCGATGACCGAGTGCGTAATTCTAGCTACAACAAGGGAGTAACTATCCCATTGTAAACTAACAAAACCGACTACTATGCCTATGGATTAATTGCATTACAGTATAAATTACATGACTCCAAATTGAATGACCAACACTTACAGTATAAATTACATGACTCCAAATTGCAGAAAAATAACATGCAAGGAAATATAAAGTACTATAAAATAAATGGCATAAAGTAAAAGAAAGTATTTCCAAAGAAGAAATTAAGGAAATTTGCACTCCAAGCCACGAAACTTGCAAACACTTGGAAAACAGATTTTTAGCTAAGGAAATTAACCGTGAGCCACAAAGATGAAATTCAATGTATTGCAACGATGATCGATTAATTTCAAACTTGTAACGGAATTTAGAAAGCTAAAATTG